AAGATGAACAAATTAATAAAAAAATTTATTATACAAAAAACAAGCTAAAGAAAGGAAAAACTAATGGAATTAATTTACAATGATAATTAAAATACAGCTCCCAAAAAAGTAGAATGCATTCAAATTGTATCTTTATATTTACCAGAGATCGTAATAGGTATTATTATAAATCACAATGAAATTTTCCTGAATTAATTTAACTAATTACCACTGCTGTTTTTACAGTAATATATTTTAAGTTTGCAAGTTTCTAAATTATGGTGGCGAAAACAAATACAAATACGTATCTTGGTATAAAAATATGAACATATCAGTTTTAATGACTAATAAATCACACACATAAGAATAATTTCTCTCTGATTCATCCACTCTTAAAACGTATATTATATGTGTATCTTTTTATAAAAAGAATCAAGTCTTTATTATAATATAATATTTATTTTCATATGTAGATATTGTAAAAATAAAAAAATATATCTATATTTATTTTCCACGCACCGTTGACCGCAATAACAACCGTGAAATATTCCAACATTTGCCTATAATTCGCCATGAAACTTCCCATATTAATTCAAATGAATCGTAATTATTTAACCTAAATTTCACACCATCTCCGTCACTCTCTTTCCCATTCGAATCAATTTATAAGGTAACAAAAATGCCATTATTATATGAAATTAGATCACGGCAAAATGAGTGACACAAATACCATTTGCATGGCATCGTTTGTTCGCATGTGTGTTCTGATTATTGTCATTTGGTATTACTTCAGTTCCGTTCTGCTTTCTACTTAACAACTAATCAAGGAAAATTATGAAATTGCATAGGAAAAACAGGGGCCAGAGAGCAGATAGTGGAGAGCAGAGAGGATGAAAAAAAAAAATGGAAAATAATATGATAAATGAGGCATTGAGATGGCTTTTGTTGAGTGACAGAATGAATTGTGAAAAAGGAGGACAGTTTTATGGGCGTTTCTTTATGTAAAACGATTGGGAAACAAGTTGAGAAATTCTATATTTAGCTTTACTAGATGATAACCTTGCTGTTATTTGGTGTGTTTTTAGTAATGAGAAGGAATATATTTCAATTTAAGAAACTTTAGTAAGTTTTCCGAGTTGCTTTTATTTAAATTATATAGATTTAAAATCCACTTAAATGTGAATTTAAATACTCTATTGAAGTTACTTTAACTTTTTTATTTATATTTCATTCATTCAACTTTGTAACACGAGTTTAGTAATTTTAAAAATTCATTTCACACCTCAACAGGTGTCAAATTGAACAGAAAAAAATGTATTCATACAACAAAAGTATAAAAACAAGTTTGACAAGGGCAATGCGAGAATTAAACTGAAATTCGGGACCTCCAAAAAATGAATTAAACCAGAAATACTTTTCGCTTGACTCATAGAACTGTTTGTAAATTGAATATCGCATACAATGCAATCTTCCTGGCTGACAAAAAATAATTAAAAACCGAATATGACAGCGAAATGCGAGGAAGTTTAAGTGTAGATTTGTATTTATTTTCCCAATCTTGTCTAGTCAGCAAATGAGTTGGTAAATTGTTAGATTTCTGAACAAGTATGTGTGTTTGTATACACTCACTAAAAATAAACCAAGTAAACAAAAGTTGGCAAAAAGGGCAGACAAAGTAAATTTATAGTTGTTGCTACGAAAAAAAAAGTACCCACAAAAAGCGAAGGGAGAATCTGTGTGGAAAACATTACGACGGGGGAGGCACAAGGCAGAAGGGTGGGAGGTAGGTGTTGGGGAGCTTAGCCATGTGATAGAGGTGAAATGAAGCAGCAAATAGAAGGGGTTTCAACTTGAATTTATGAGTACTTCTATATCCACGGAAAGTTCTCAGACCAAAGTTCAAATTGATGGGAGTTTATTTTTTTAACGGGCTAAAAAGTTCTTATCTCAGTAAATTTTAGTCGAAGCCCAAGAAGCTAGCCATAAAGCAGCAATTCATGGTCTTGGTGAAATTTTATTATTGGCAAAGGCAGCGTGTGACAGTAACGGATTTATATGGCAAACACGTTTTAAACTGGCTTTTTGCAGCTCTTCTTTTGTGCACAAGAAATGAATTTAATTTCGAGGTTATTTATAGCATAGATTAATATGTATTCAAAGTTTGATTAGGTACCAGATAATCCAACAAAGGCAAGTTGACAGAAATTTGATACCTTTCTTAATTTCATGCTATTAGGAAATTACTTGATATGCGCTATCTGATAGATAAGGCTCAAAAGTGCCAAGATAGTTGACTTTCTTCTTTGTTTTGTATATCTTGAAGTGGTAGAGAAATAGGTTTAAATATGTGGGACATCTAAAGATTAAATTTTTATTATATTGGCAAATAACCAATTTTAGTTTCTATTTCTATCTTAAACTCCTCAAAATGTATTCAATAAATCAACTAACTAAGTTCTATTAAATATCTTTGATAAATGTATTTAAGCTATAATTATAAGTAACACAAGAACTAGTTTATATAAGTGAATACTTTATCATTACTCTATTTTACTAATTGGCTAATTATGTGTAAAGCGTAACCTTAAAAAAAACCTTAAACAAGCAAAAACAAAAAGAAACCCCAAAGTATTTCCCATTTTTTTATGGCCAATAACGATGTGTCAGAACTTTTCTCGCTAGTGTCATCCGCTCATAACTATTATTCTCCCCAACCGATTCCGCTCAACTTCCACGCCGGAGATACATATACAAATACCTACAACGAATAGCCAACAGATATCTCTTCAAAGTTAACGTTATTCATCAGAGCCAACTCGGCAACACGGCACGGCGGCGGCACACATGCAAACAGATAGCCAAGCCAACAGTCTTGGCTTGTTCTGTTTTCGGTTTTCTCTGTTTGTTTCGAAACAAACCGGTTAAACGCTTTTAGCTTTTAGCTTTCAGCGAAAAGCAGCAAGAAAGAACAGCACACATAAAAAACAGAAACCGTTTAAGCGTACAATGGGCGTAGTTGGTTAAAGTACAGAGGGGAAGTTACGGGGTTGGGAGAGGATTGACTACAACTAATTATCAACCTCAACGAATCGCGCACAGCTGTACAGAGCAAACAAACGCAGTTGAATTCGTTTCAAATCGCTCGATTCGATTCTGGGTTTCTATTTCCCCTCAAACCATAACGATTTATCAACAAATCAAACGTTCGGTGGTTGGTGGGTAGTGGTGGCCCCAAACATTGTAAACATTACGAGCACAAATTGTTTTTGGCCCGTTATCAGTTTGGGGAAGTTCTTTTTTTTGCCCGATTTTCGATTTTCAGATTAGACCGAAAATGAGGAAACCCTGAAACAAATACAGTCAAAATTCTTGAATAAATAAAATAACCATATGTTAAAGTTTAAAAATTAAGTTATATGGAAACTAATGGAATGGGAAACAAAACAACAATCATATTTTAAAAGAGTCACAAAAGGAAATAGAGCTAGCTTTGAGCATTTAAAAATATTATATTGCGAGGCCTTAGTATAAAAACATACAAAATAATAAGATAATACTATAAAGTATATAAAATAATATAATTGTTTAGGTATTTAAGATTTATTTTCAAAGTTCCTCAGTGTTATTTTATGTATTTCACAGGTAGTAATAGTTTGTAAACTTTTCGAATATCTTTATAATTTCAATGTCTTAGTATTTATCGCATCTAGAATATAATAACATCGGTCTAATATATAAAACCAAAATGTATTTATAGCGGTAACCAACGAAAGGTTAACTTATAGATGTTTCACTGTATACTTTATGTAATCTTCATTACATGTTTGCTCATTTTCTTTTGGCTTTCCATGTTCTGTTTGTTTTGCGTTGAGTAATTTATGAACCGCTTGGACTATTTCTAGAGAGAGGAATAAATATACACAACACACACATAGACATTTATATGCATATATACATATGTTCGCATCCAGTATCGCTTTACAAGCTGATAACAAAATTGAACAGAGAAACGTGACTTGAAGCGGTCCGTAAATCCGGAGAACTGGGTATTTAAACTATTTGATCAAGCAATGCAAACATTGGCATTTGGGAATGCACGAGTGCATATGAGTTGCTAAAAATAAAAATTCAGTAGAATGTTAAGGTCATTAAACATTCAATTAATTGTTGATACATCCATGACAGGCAGTTTCATCATGTGAATAAAGTCGTTAAGGAATCAGTAAACTCGTGTTTATAAATCTCAATTTGCAAAAGCCTTATACTATAGCAAAAATAATATTAAGTAAAACAATAACTACTAAGTGCAAAGATATTCCTAATTAGCAAAACCGCATTTATTAGAAACTACTTTATGCAAATTTATATTTAGAATATTATATAATTAATACAATATGTAAATTCTTTTTAATTATTCTATAAGGGAAAATCAGTTTTGTATTTAGCATTCTGCTGATATTGATAAATTAAAAATATATGTATTATTTCTTTAACTACCTAAATCTTTAAAATTTCCTAATCAGACAGTATAATCTACATAACAAATTTTAAGAAATCATCATTTCTTAATGACAGTCTCATCCTTATAATGAATGAAAATGAAAAGCAGTTCGAGTTTTATCCATTATCGATGGGCTTTACCGTTATTTACTGGCGATTACGAATAAAGGCATTAAAAAAAAACCCCGAAATTCTTCGAAGAGCGTGAGAAGCTTGAAAGAAGGGCTTGACGTGAGAAGAACAAGCGTGAAGACAAAAAGAAGATTATAAGAAAAGAAAGCGAAGAAGAGCCAACAGCAGCAGCAGCTGTTATCAAGACAGTAACTGTAAATAAGCCACCTGTAGCCGTTTCGCATGTTCAAAAAAAAATGAAACAAACACAGCATAGTTGCCCTCCTCTTTTCCTCTCTCTTTTTCTTAGATATTTTTTTTGGTTAACATAACAAGGCAACAGCATAATTAAAGCCCTGATTTTAAAGTTTAAAACTTTAAGCTTATATAAAAAAATATAAAAAACTCACCTTGAGATGCTCCAATATTAAATGTTTCCTTTCTTTGTGGTTACCTCCCACGCGTGGCCCTTAAATCCGTTTACTGTTATATTTAATGTAAACTCGGCGCTGCTTCTGCTGTTGTTTTTGTTGTAATTCCTTTCAGCATTGCTTTTCACTTTACTTCACTCACACACACACAGAGACACATATGTAGAGAGCGAGAGACACGATATACGTACAAATTTCTCGTGCTGCAACTTTTTCTCTCTTTTCTTTTCTTTGCTTTCTTTCTTTCTTTTTATATATATTTTTTTTGTGTAAACCAGTATTTTTGTGCCTTCTTTCACTTGTATGATTTTTTTTATTCAAGAAATTGTTGAATAACGGTTTCTGTTAGCCGCTACGCTCTTGTTGCTGTTGTTGTTGTCATGAATTTCACTTTGCTTTCGCGTTTCACGCATTGCTGCTGCTTCTTCTTCATCGGCTTCGTCTTGTTGCTCCTTTTTCTTTTAATAGTTGTAGTTGTTGTTTTAGCCGTGGGAAACCTGTCCAGCAGCCTTACAGCCGCTGTTTTTGTTGCTTTTCATTTTTCGGCCGCACATTTTCATAGCTTTACTCTACAGAAGACACTTCAGACATTTAATATTTAAATATTTTTGCGTTTTGCTTCTTTTTTATAAGTGAAAAAGCAAGCAAACAGCGTGTGTACATATTTAATAAATAAGGCAAAAATTCCAACAAAATATACAATTATTGTTGTTGCTCAACGTTCATTGCCACACACACACACATACTTCAACGAGCAGACAACGAGTCAGACACAACCGCATACATATACAATTTTTTTGGGGGCTAAGGGGGGCGGTTTTTTTCTTTTTGTTTCAAGGCAACTTCATTTCTTGACTCTTTTTCCTCCCCCGCAAAGGGAAACAAAGAAAATTTCACTTGTCTCGCACACACACACACTCATACTCTCGCACACACCGAGACTCGCACATTTCCCCAAAGGAAATATAATTTAAAACATTTTTATTGACACAATTACAAGGTTTCTGCTTCTTGCGTCTGTTGTTGTTGCCGCTTGCTTGCTTGCTTCTTCTCTTTATCGTTGTTGTTGTTGTTGGCCTACTTTGTGTGTTGTTGTTGTATTTGCTTTTTTCTCTGGCTTTTATTTTTTGTGTTGCTCCAACTTCTCTTCGCTTTGAAAAAATTTCACACGCGCCGTTTCTTTTTTTCGTAGTCTCTTTTTTTACGTAAATTAGATTGCCATTTGAAGTTATTTCGGTTTGTTGGGATTGCACTTGGTATTTAGCTATTATATATATGTATATATACGTGTGTTGCACTACATTATATTTATAAACATTATGTGTATATGTTTGAAATTTTAATTTTATTTTCGTATAAAAAGAAAATCAGACGAGACGAACGTATGAACAAATGAAATGGTCTTTGTTGTGTTTTTTTTTTAGTGATCAGTGTGGCCAGACGGAAATTGAAACAAAAGGAATTTGTCAGTGTGGCCAGATTAAAAGTTGGCCTAGCGGCTAGCGTCAAGTGTAGCAATCGGTAAGTAAAATTGTGTAATTTTACCTCGTGAACGGAAAGTCTGGCAGCGTTCATGAGCGACCAACATTGCCAGATTGTTCGTTCATGAGCAAACAATATCGATTGGATGCTATCGAGTTCCACCCATCTCTGGCGTCTCAAAGCGGGAAATTTTGCGAAAAACAAGACGAATCAGGTAAGCTAATATAACTAAAAAGCAAACCAGAAACTAAAGAGTGTACTTGCAGACATGGCGCCTTCTTCCTCACAAGAACCGCCACAGGTTCCGCTGAGGAACTGCGCCTTGGCGCCACATCGACTGAAGACCCCGAGCCGCAAAATTACCGACCCCTACTTGGTCAATTTTGCAAAGCGCATCAACTCTGAAATCCGCGTTGGAAACTTGTTGTGCCTCGACTGCTATCAGAACTTGAAGAACTTGTACCGCATGAAGATGGCCAATGCCCGGCAGCATCACGAGAAGCGTAAGAGGGAACAGAGCTCTGGGAACAGCATTTCGGATGTAAGCAACAGCCAGCGAATGGTGTCCACCTCCTCCTCCGATGAAGTGTCGGTGCCAGGGAATCGTTCAACTGCTTCGCCGTTATCCTCGCGAGGCTCGTCCCCCACAACCAGTGCTGCAGCGGCGGCCAAGAGACAGCGGACAAGTGCTCCTCCACCGCCATCCTCGCGAGACTCGTCCCCCACAACCAGTGCTGCAGCGGCGGCCAAGAGACAGCGGACAAGTTCTCCTCCACCGCCGATACCGGCGGCATCAGGGAACTCATATGTTAGTGACGACGACGACCCCAATTCGAATCTCAGTCTTAATGCAGTGAATGGCACGCGACTGCCGCACATTCAGCCCATCCCAAAGAGACGTCAGTTTGTTCATCTGAATAAGAATGCGATGGACATTTACCTGGCAGGCACCACCGGCGGGTAAGCCAGTGCGAAAAACTGTCCAACTGCACAGCAATCAACACCTAATTTCCTGTGTAATCCTTCTGGAAGGATCGACTTGAAGTGGTCTTTCATAAGTTTATTGATGAGCAAGAATAAGCCTTGTAAAATATTATTTAAAGCCAATTCTACTTAGTCAAAATGAAAGTGACATGTTTAAGTTTTAGTTTAAATTACTCAATAAATATGTTATATGACTGAAGAATGAAGTAAATAAATAAATACAGACTGTCAAAATGCCGTTTAAAAATCTGATTTATTTTTACAGTGACCAACTTAATTATTGGCACAGTTGGGACGTCTGTCTTTAGCACAGATTATCTCCATTAAATTTAGCAATATATCAATGGAACAAATTTTATTTATATACATTTGTAAATTTCCAATTACATTACCTTCGTTTTATTCATGCATATCATTCCATTAATTTAACAATATTAAAAAACAAGAATTTAATCATTTTTTTAAATTTGTTTATTAGTAACTACCAATTTATTTAAATATACATACTATAACAATCTCATAAGATTAATATCTACATGCGAAAATTTTTTATTTTAGATTTTATATACATTTTTTTAAATAAAAACAATTCTTAATAGTACATAGTCCATAGCAATCGATTGTTTGGGCAGTGTTGCCAGATGAAAATTTGGCTCTCCCCCTAAAAAATCGCCAAAAGTTGAAATTTCCCCCTAAAAAAATGCAGTTTTCCCCCTAAATTAAAAAAATCAGTTAATTTCATAAATATAAGGACGAAACATATTTTTGTTAGTTAATTTTAATGTTTTTTTATACATATGCATCGATAATTTTTTCTGAAAACTCGGCATGGAAACCTCTTTGTTCACAAAAAGTTTCAAAAGTTGTTGCAATTGTTGGGTAAATCATAAATTCTACAATGTTTTTTTAAAACATAGTATAAATACAAGTTTAAAAAAACCCTAAACTTTCCCCCTAAAAATTCTTCCCCCTAAAATTCCCACTAGTACATCAAAAAACCCCTAAATCTAGGGGAAAAACCCCTAACCTGGGAACACTGTGTTTGGCAATCATCGATACTGTCGAGCTATACAAACAGTGGTGTCATTTCGCCGCTTTTCCCGTCAAATTCAGCTTAATTCAGCTTGCCGGAAAATAAACTCTTATATGCGATCCCTGGAATTGGCCAGAATGCCGTGTTGTTATTGCAAAAGCAGCCTAACTTCTTTGATTTTTATATTTTATACTTACAATTATAAACAAAATAACAAACAATTATTTTCTAACAATCGGCTTTTTTCTTAGCCTTTTCCAATTTGGCTTTTTTAGCTGTTTATTTCTAGTAATCTAGCTTTTTTGCTTCGAAAAAATGGCATCACTGGCCATATAAACAATATATAAAAAATTCGAACTGCGATGCAGATTCTAAAGTAATTTTTGTTTTGACTGCAGGAAATAAGCTGCGTTTTACGAAAACCACTGTGGCTCTAGATTCCATAAGCAAAATTTGACTATTCTGCGATCGATATTCTATGTTAACAAACAGCGTTTTCTCTACATTTTAACATTCTACATGAGAATTCGACCAAAATCGAGAATTCGACCCCAAAATCGAGAATTCGACCCCAAACTAATGTTAACTAACAAATTTTACACTGTTGTTCTGTTAGTGTAAGATTGATTTCGACTTTTTAACATGAACGCTTCTCTTAGCTTTTTCCAATTGGAATTCGGCTTTTTTAAGCTGAAAAACGACATCACTGGCAGTTTAAACAATATATAAACAATTCCAACTGCGATGCAGGTGCTTTAGTTGACAGAATTCTCGGCGCAAGCAAATCAAAGGGCTGGAAAAATCTGCTCGGGACACACATCAAAATTCTGGTTTACTAGACACGAGAAATTAACGCAAAATTCCTGGCTAAAATGGCTGACCGCGATGCCGCATCGAATCAGTTGATTGACTACAAAAACTCCCAAACGGTGAGTGTGTTGGTGTGTCTGTGTGCGAGCAAGAATCTGTGTGTGTGTGTGAGTGCCGGCCCGAAATTAGGGAAAAAGAGAAAGGAAGAAGAGGAGGGCAGCAGAAACAAAGCGTTGTTAAAAATAAAATAAACAAAAAACAAGACAATAAAGGCGGGGGCGATTGCTATAATGCTGTACTTTTCTATATCGTTAATAATTAAAAAATGCAAAAAGCCACAGAGATCGTGCATTTCGAAAGCGAACAGTTCAAAGTTCAAGAGCGGTCGCTATCGCGTTCTCTTTTCTCTCTTGATTCCTCTCTCTCCGCCTCTCTGCCTGTTTATTTATACGCATCTTATCAAAACTGACCGGAGTCTGATAAGAGTTATCAGCTTAGCGCTTAGTTTTCCCCGGTGGATTTGGAGGGCCTAATCCAAAGTTTTGGTCTTTGGCCCTTTTTCTCACTGCTAACCTTTGCCTTTTGGTTATTTGTTTTGCTTCCGCCTCTATTTTCGCTTTGCAATTTTCAATTTCATTTGGCACTACTTGCATTTATATTATATTTTATTTATTCGAATTTGTTTGCACTTTCGTGCTAAATGTTCGTTTTCGCTTTTCGTAAACTGTTTGTAGCTGGTATTTTGTGTATGTTTAATGATTTGAAATTTAAAATTCGTGACGCTTGCAAAATGCATAAAGTAACACAGCTCGTTTTTGAAAAGTATTCTAATTACCTTAATGGAATAATTGTAGAAGAATGCAAGGAAATTTTGAAAATTGAATTTTTGAATTCAAAATTTGTTTAAAGTGGGGGTAATAATATTTAAAAATTAAAACTTCATAATTAGACGTAGAATATTCGTACACTTACAGTTTATAGATACAGAACCATTAAAAAAACCCATTTTTAATATTAGGATGCCAAAAAACAATGCAATTATTTTGATTTAAAATAATCATTTGGAAACTCCAACATTTATTGTAAATTTTTTATAAGAGTAATTGAAGTCCACATATTTTCAGGGTTTTAATTTTATATTTAAGAAATAAAGTAATAATATACACTATATAATCTGAGATCTTAAAAAACCATTACAAATATAAAAATATTCAAAATACCTGCTTCATCTAGGCAAAATAATAATATTTATAGAATCCATTGTACAGCCATTATCTATTGGTCTCTCCCTTTTTGTATGTACCCCCCATAAATCGATAAATGAAACTCAAATATTCAGAGTTGAGCTATTTGTCAGTCAGTTTGATAAGCATCGAAAAACCTGCTAAGTAATTGGCCCAAATAGATTAGATTTATCAGTAATATATACCTTTTCGAATTAGTTCGAATTAGCCTTGAAAGTACATTATAAAAGTATATAAACATATATATATATATTTCAATTTAGCAATGAGTTTTGTAATCGATATAATAGCTAAACAAAGAAGCAATTATCTATATTATTTTTGAAAGGAAATGCAATTATCTTTATTACCTTATTGAAGGGAAATACTTTAGTTCTGTTAAAAGGGCGTTAATTAAGAAATATTCTACTCAAGAACTCTCATTGTTTATATTTTTACGGACTGAAAAATAATATAATTATATATCAAACAATATACATATATCTCACGTAAACAAAATTATGACCGCATTAAATGGATGAGTCAAAGAAATCAATTAAAAGCTACCGAGTTAAGCCCCTACTTTATTATACCACAAAAGCAAACAATTACAATTCTTTTTCTATATATATAAATGCATATATGCATATACATATATGACTTGTTTGTGCCGCTTTGAGGTTGGAAAATCGCTGGGAAGTCAATGGACTTTGCTGCGACCGGCTTAATGTTGCATAAACTGGTTGCAATGGGCTGGCTTGTCGTGTCGATCACGAGACAACGAACCCGGCTAAAGAAACCCGTTTTGGGTTTGAGCCTTTCCCGACTTGGAGGGAAAATGCGTTTCAACTGCAAATTTTCTTTCTCCAATTTGGTTATGCAATCCTGAGTTCAAATACACAGACTTATACACTCACTGTATGTGAGAATATGTTTCGAAGTGACCCAGAGAGGAGAGCTAACTTGGCTTGGTTGGTGGCTTTTGGTTCGTGTTGTTTTAGTCGAATTTAAGCTTCTATGACGAAACTGTGAAAACTGCATTCTATCAGGCAATTAAATGTTTGCCTTTGTTTCGCTGAATAATCATGGCAACTATGTAGTTGGGTTCTTTGTTTCCACATATAGTGGGAGAATCGTATAATATACCTTAATTGACGCGATTAACCAAGAATTTGAACCAATTCTAGGATACCCAGATACCCATAAACCAGATATTTGTATTGGGAAAGGTCGTAAAATGGTTTGATCGAAGGGAAAAAAGTTTGAACTGTATTGTTTATACTGCTTCGTTGTTAAATAAACTATAAATAATATATTAACTTTGCTTAAGAATCTTAGTAAGTACCTAAAATGAATATATATTTTATGAAAGCTTAGATATAATGACATAAAACTCAATTTCTTTGAATTAATTTCTTTAATAAATAGTTTTAAACAATTCATTTTAGAAAACATTTTAAATCAAGAAGCTATTTTATAGATTTTATAGATAAATTAGACATCTTAAAGTACAATTTCACAACTCATCACTTGAAATCTTCGTTGTAATATCAAAATTAATCATCTCTTGTATTTTCTGCCCTTCAAATGACTCAGTTTCTTGTGATAAATGATATCTAGTAGACAATGTTGTCTCTCCTTTAATATTTATCAGATGCACAGTGATCTGTTTAAGCCTACCTCATTAACATTTTGTTTGTTCGCTTCGCTGACATGTTGCAATTAAAAAAGACTTTAGTAGTTCATGTATTTTTGCATTCTTTTTTTCTTTTTTGAGATCGTATGAGGGGTTGCCTTATCACAGTTTGTTTTTCACTGGGAATACACACAAACGCATTTTGGAGGCCCGATACGAACCAGATTGACTTGTTGGGGCGTGAAGCGAGTTCCATTCTCATTCGCATGCCCACTCCCGGTTTTGCTTTATTTTTCGTATCTGTCCCCCCTCTGAAAGTGGCTCCATATTGTTGTCTCAAAGTGCAAACAATACTGATTAAATCGCAGGGAAAAAAAACAAGGCAAGACTGCAGAGAAAAGAGTATACATATGAGCCATAAAAATACTTATATAGAAATTTCAGAAAAAAATTTAAAAATAAAATAAAGAATTTATAAGGAGAGTTCACCAGACAGATAATATAATAAAGAGCTTAAAAGCTGCTTTGAATGTAGAATTAGCTACTGATTGCAACGCAATTAAAAAAGAGGGTCTTTTATATGAAGTATATATATATTTTTTAACATTTGTGGTATTATAAACATGGAAAATAGCTTCTTGTAGACTCTAGATCAGAATACTTTATTAATATTAATTTGGCTGACTTTTCACTTGGGGAATTCTTCAGCCAATTCAAGCAAGAAATGCCCTGATACGGACGAGGCTCCTGTGTCTTCTAGATAAAATATCCCTCAAAGATTTAGTAGTTTAATTTTTAATCCTTGCCAAATATTATTTCGTTTCTTTTTAGTCATCCAACTTCTACGAATAAAGATCGTATAAAATAGATAACAACAATAGGGCACTTAAAAGTAAACAATTCCCTAAGTCACGCCACCTAAATGACTTTGTTGCGAAATATAAACGGCAGCTTAATTTATATGTTTGACAACTCACCAGCAGGGGGTTAAGTTTGATATATATAGATATCACCTCTATATGGTATATACAACTCTTTAATATGCGCACACACAGTGTTCTAGAAATGCTTTCAAATTAGAATTTCGCAATAACATTTGCTAAATAGTGTGCATTGTTGCCGGTGACAGTTTTGCAAAGTGACTTGTGAGTGACTTGAGTTAATTCTATAATGAGTGGATGGCTTGCATGCGAAATAAACGATTAAAGACTGGGGACAGGGTGTGTCTCCAGGGAAATTAATTGAAAACACAGGAAGATGATGATATGGGAAGACACTTGATATAATACAAAGAAGATCTCTGGTTGATAAATGACAAAACATTTAGCAAAGCTAATTGATATTTCAGGTCCGATCAGACAGCGATATTTGGCTTCAATGGGAATTAATAATTTATTGTTATTATTTTATAAAATGAGGTTATTAATTGAAATACAAAAACCAGGGAATTTAAGGGGTTACCTTTAAAAATGTTAATTAATTTAATGCCTCAATCAATTATCGTTATCTAATCAGTTAAATTTCATGATTGTTCGTTTAAAAGTTCCCTTAAACACTTTAATTTCCTCGGAATTATTTTTCCACTTAACTAAAATTCCATGCAAATATTTTTTGTGCACCAAAACACCTTTCAAAGTGACCCCCTGCGTAGTGATAAAGTCCTACAATCTTTATGTTTATGTTTTTGGTGGTGACAGCGTCCATAGATTATAAATATGAAATATGAAAGTCCGCAAGACCAAAAAAAGAATTATCGCCTAAAGCTTCGATAAGATTAGGCGACACTTTGAACTGGTAATATTATATAACGAAAAAAGTAAGTAGAATTGCACTTTGCAACGTAGCCGGTAAAGTTTTTCTTTATTTGTATAATTTAAAAAAAATGAATTAGTAAACCATTTGCTTGGTAACTTGAAAAGTTGCATTAAAAGGTCACAACTAAGTTGTTTTTTTTATTTTATTTTCTTTTCTCAGGTCTCCCCTGGAGCCATTACCACTGGCCATGGAGCACCCATTGGCATCAAGGATGCCACACAGACGGTGGGTCCCCGCGGACCCGTTCTCCTGCAGGACGTGAACTTCCTCGATGAGATGTCCCACTTTGATCGCGAAAGGATTCCCGAGCGTGTGGTCCATGCCAAGGGAGCTGGTGCCTTTGGTTACTTTGAGGTTACCCACGATATCAGCCAGTACTGTGCCGCCAAGATGTTCGACAAGGTGAAGAAGCGCACTCCCCTGGCCATCCGTTTCTCCACGGTGGGCGGTGAGAGCGGATCTGCGGATACTGCTCGTGATCCTCGTGGTTTCGCCGTCAAGTTCTACACGGAGGATGGTGTCTGGGATTTGGTGGGCAACAACACACCCATTTTCTTCATCCGTGATCCCATTTTGTTCCCCAGCTTCATTCACACCCAGAAGCGTAATCCTCAGACGCATCTGAAGGATCCTGATATGTTCTGGGATTTCCTTACCCTGCGTCCCGAGTCGACGCATCAGGTGAGCTTCCTGTTCGGCGATCGTGGCACTCCCGATGGCTATTGCCACATGAACGGCTATGGCTCGCACACCTTTAAGTTGGTGAATGCCAAGGGTGAGCCCGTCTATGCCAAGTTCCACATGAAGACGGATCAGGGCATCAAGAATCTGGATGTTAAGGCGGCCGATCAGTTGGCCAGCAGTGATCCGGATTATAGCATTCGGGATCTGTACAACAGGATCAAGACCTGCAAGTTCCCCAGCTGGACGATGTACATCCAGGTGATGACCTTCGATGAGGCCAAGAAATTCAAGTACAATCCGTTCGATATAACCAAGATCTGGCCGCACAAGGAGTATCCCTTGATTCCCGTGGGCAAGCTGGTGCTGGATCGCAATCCCAAGAATTACTTTGCCGAGGTATGGATACTATTCTTCCAGACATTTCTGTTTTGCTAATAAATTATTATTTTCAGGTGGAGCAAATCGCCTTCAGCCCGGCTCATATGGTGCCTGGTATTGAGCCATCTCCGGACAAGATGCTCCAGGGTCGCCTGTTCTCCTACTCGGACACCCATCGTCATCGTCTGGGACCCAACTATCTGCAGATTCCCGTCAACTGTCCCTACAAGGTGAAGGTTAGCAACTTCCAGCGCGATGGCGCCATGAATGTCACCGACAACCAGGATGGTGCCCCCAACTATTTCCCCAACTCCTTCAATGGACCCCAGGAATGCCCCAGGGCCAGGGCCCTGTCAACCTGCTGCCCCGTCACTGGCGATGTCTATCGCTATAGCAGCGGCGATACTGAGGATAACTATGGCCAGGTCACCGATTTCTGGGTCTATGTCCTGGACAAGTGCGCCAAGAAGCGTCTGGTGCAGAACATTGCCGATCATCTGAGCAACGCCAGCCAGTTCCTGCAGGAGCGTGCGGTGAAGAACTTCACCCTGGTTCATGCCGATTTCGGACGCATGCTGACCGAAGCTCTCAATCTGGCCAAGTCCTCCAAGTTCTAAGCATGATCTGGTTTTTATTGGCCTTAATTACGGTTTAACTCTATTTTGGAACTCAACAATTCCGAGAACACCCAACTCCAACGACTCTAAGAACAAAAAGCGTTCTGCTTTTCGGCTACTTTGGTTGCGGGCTAAAAATCAAATGAATTCATTAATTATTGTGCTTGTGTCTTGTTTTGATATTCAAAATTGTTTCAGATTATACACGAAATACAATTATATGCAAATGATGGACATAAATATGCAATAAAACTCTATATTTTGATAAAAAAATATGTATTTAAAATGGTGTGTCGTTGGGTGTTATGATTAAATATTACAAATAATTTAAAATTATATTTTTTGTTAATATTTAAACCCTTGCAGGGTATTGTAATTTCAGTCAGAAGTTTGCAACGCAGTGAAGGAGACCTTTCCGACCCTATAAAGTATATATATTCTTGATCAGCATTAACATGCGAATCTTTCTAGACATGTCCGGAAAAAATCGATTTTTTGGCCATATTTGCAAAATTTGATAAGGGGTTACATCATTAAAATTTTTGTTTTTGATAAAAAATTGAATTTTCAAAATTGAAATCAAAAATAAATGAAGAATGCAGATTTATTAACTGCAGAAAATCTAGCACAGAACAGTTTTCCGATTTAAAATTAATGCTCTTTTGGCCGAGTTATGATATTTTTACTTAAAAAAAATCAAGAAGTTTTTTAATATAAAAAATCAGATTTTATAATACAAAATAATATTTTTCTAAGTCAAGGAATCATTTCCGACCCCATAAACCATATATATTCTTGATCAGCATTAACATGCGAATCTTTCTAGACATGTCCGGAAGATATCGATTTTTTTGCCATTTTTGCGAAATTTGATAAGGGGTTACATCATTAAAATTAGCAAAAATGGCCCAAAATTTTGATTTCTTAAAATTTTAAATTTGGTATGCATTTTTTTTAGGCTTATAAAAACTAACACAAAACCGCTTTCCGAATCGAATTTAATGCATTTTTGGCTTATTTGTGATATATTTTAATTTTAACCTGCAAGGGTATACAAACTTTGCCTGGTTAAAGTTAGCTTTCTTTCTTGTTTAATTAGAAATAATCGATTTTAAATTCAATACCAAATTTTAGCTTCACGAAGTTAGTTTTCTTTCTTGTTTTATATAATTTATTAAATTTCAAAATGAAAGCAACAGGTTTTCCAACCCCAAAACTCCAAAACTGTAAAAGCCTATCGATTGTTCAAGTAATCGTATTTGTTTATTTTTATTGTATTTTTTAATGTTACAAAAATAAAACAAAATATATTTTCAACGTTTCCTTTAAAATTTAAATAATAAACTAGATTTTATTAGACTTCATTTTGGAATTCCAAAATACATGCAACAGGTCTTTGAAACAATGACTCCAAAACTGTTGTGAAATATCGATTGTTGAAGTAATAGTTAACGCACAACTTACCATCTCTAGCAGGGCTAATATTTAAACATGGGCGCGCACTTGTTGAATTTGTATTATAATTAAAAGCAAAGAAAATAAAATTTTAAGTTTGTTTTGAGCTTTTTATTTGTATTTGATATTTTCTTTTACAAACTATATAAAACATAAATCATTTGCAAATGTACACAGTATCATTTAGGCTTACACTAAAGGCTATTTTGTGTGTGTGTGCTCTCGTTTCGCAATCGCAATTAAGTTGAGTAGATTGTTCATTTCAAATTTTCCTTTACGAATATATGTACGTTCTCTCAGTCTAGTTATTAAAAATATATAATTGAACGATATTTACCCCGTGGCTTTCTTCTTTAATATTCTTTATGCTAAATGCAACGCTTAAGTAACATTAATTGTGGTTTAATTGCTTAGCTGGGCTCGTTCTCTGAAAGTATTATTTCGCTATACAATATAATTAATGTTCTTTCATGTTTGTATAAAAAACGGTTTCCGCAAATGCATCTCTTCAGATCATTCCACACAAAGGCACTTCTTTATCTTGTACAGTGTTCCCTAATATATTCAATATTGATTTCCATTGCTGTTTCTGTGTCTGTTGTGATTGTGATTTAACCCTAAAGGATTTCCTAACTAACCTCCTAAATCGTCTGATTCGCCTTCAGCGCCGCTTCCCGGGCATATATCTGCGCCCATTCGGGGAAGGTGTTGAGATTGGGATACACAACCAGTCCCCAGGTCTGACAGAACACAAACAGCACAACAATGGTAATAATTGTGGGTCCAATACCAGCAATGGCCATGTCCTTGGTCCTAATGTTGGCATAGCCGGCAACTAAAGCGTTGGGCGGAGTGCTTACGGGCAAGTGGAAGGCCATGCTGCAGGCCAAACCGGCGGGCAGGATCAGGTACAGTGGGTGAATCTCAATGGCCAAGGCCATTTCCGCCAGCACGGGCACAATAATGTTGGCAATGGCCACATTGGAGCTGAAGGCTGTCAAGAAAACAGCCACCAGAATGACCACCAACAGCAGGACGGCATTGGGCAGGACCTTCAATCCAATCAAGGCATTACCAATCAGTGTGGCCATGCCGCTCACCTTGCTGCCTTCGGCCAGGGCAAAGCCACCTCCCAGCAGGAATACCAGACCCCATGGCACTTTAGTTTGGATAAACTTCCAGGTGATGAGCGAGGGAGTGGGTCCCGTGGGCACTTGGCCGCCGCGTCGGCAGCAGTAGCGCAGGAAGGCATAGTTGGCGGGCAGAATGAAGCACATGATGACCACGAAAATGGTGGGCATGGAGTTGCGAATGTCCCTAAAAAACAGGAAGATTAATTAAATGTAATAATTAAAAAGGATATCCTTCAACTCACTTGGTATTCAGCCAATCAGCCCAGCCCAAAAAGATGCCCGGCTTGCGGGTAAAGTACATGATAACCATGAAAATGAACAGGATCATCACTTGAATCTCATGAATGGACATGGGTCCCAGCTCCTTGTAGCGCTGATCGATAACCTTCTTGGCCACATGAGCACCCTCCTTGCCCCGCTGCACCTCCTGGGCCTCCTTGCTATTGGGACGCCACAGACCCATGAAGTGCCATTGCAGAAACAGGAAGGTCAGCAGTGTGTACACCAACATGGAGGGCACCGAGTAGAACATGAATGTGGGGAAATCCATGTGTTCAGTGGAATTGGCGAAGCGAGCATCGTAGATACCCTTGAAGGTCAAATTGGTGGCGGTACCAATGATGGTTCCACAACCGCCCAAGGACGAGGCATAGGCAATGCCCAGATAGTAGCAAAGTGTGATTTTCGTGGGATAAGGTGGCCTGAAAAACACATTATAGAATTAGTTCTTAATCTTGATATATAAACAAAAATAATAAACTCACTCATCCGGATTGTCCTTCTTGTTGTTGCCAACAATTTGGTATTCGGGTTCATGGTTAATTTTGCACACTCCCTGGGCCTGCAGCTCCTCTAGAACAGCTTGGATAATGGGGCACATCATGGCCGTGCAGGCGGCATTCGAGATCCACATGGACAGAAACATGGTCACCATAATCAGGCCAAAGTGTAATCTAAACAAGGAAAATAAAAATAATTTTTGTAAATTTAAATTTAAATTATAAAAGAAAATCTTTAATTATTTCTTACCTGCGGGGACTGCAGCCCACGATCTGGATTACACGCAAGGCAAGACGCTTGTGCAGGTTACAGTATTCCACGGCAAGGGCCACCATAATGCCGCCCATGAACATGACCAGTGTATCTTTGAAATACAGCTGACAGGTTTGATTGGAGCTCTAGAAATTTAAAATAATACAAATAATAGTAAATATGGAAAATTTAGAAATATTTAAATAAAAACTCACCATTATTCCCATTACAGGGAATGCCACAATGGGTATCATGGAGGTTATATATAGCGGCAAGGCTTCTGTGACCCAAAAAACGGCCATAACCAACAGCAGGTACATGCAACGATATTCCTGTAAAATAATTAGATTATTAATTAATATGGTATAATTATTATAAAGTATTTAACTAGATTATTAATTTATTCATTATTTAAGTCTTTCAAAACTTACGGGAGTGTTGTTCAGGAGCATCACGGGCAGGCATAGCAGGGGCACTAGGAAGACCACCAGCCCCTTCCAATGATTGGCAAAGAAATTGGAACACTTTACCGGAGGTTGAGGCGGTTCACCGATTTCACTGTGGAATAAAAATTAAAAAATTAGTAAAAAAATAATGTATATATATATAATGTAAAATAAAATAATAAATAAATAAAAAATTAATATAAATTTATTTATTTATTATTTTATTTTTTTTTATGTATTAAAATGAATAAATAAATAAATAAATAAAAAAAATATAAAAATAAATATATAAATATAAAAATCTAAGTGTTAATATTATTTAAGACATTAAATACAGAGATATTAAAATGAGATATCAATGATACCACAGTATTTTATTAAAAAAAATTTAAAAATAAATTAATAGTTCTAAAAATATGCTAAAAAGACAAAAAAATAGTTTCTTGCTTAATTTTTAATTCCTTTTTAAAGGTTTTTAAAATCAAAGCCATATAATAATTAAATTAATTATAAATTAATAAATTAATTAATGATTTCATGAATATTTTTCACGATTTATTCAATATGATATAAAAATACAATATAAATTAAAAAGAAATTTTATATTAAATCAAAAAAAATCGGAATAAATCATCCATCACTTAAAGTTTTTATTGAGCATATAAACTTTTCCACTGTTATATTTAATTTCATTCAAAAAATCAAAAGAAATCAATCATTGCCTCAGGCAATTATCATATTTCATAATATATACTTACACTTCCATTTTGATGTCCAGCGGTGGCCTTAGGATCTATAAACAAATGGAGCAAAAGAAAAAAAATAAATCAATTAAAATTGTTCAAGAATCAAGAACGAGCCCCCCGAAGCACTTGTTGCCAAGCCGTTGTTGTCATTGTACCCAAAAGTAAAGTGAACCCCGTACTGAACCCGAGAATCGGTTGTCATCGCTTCACGCTTCATTAAAATGCCATCCATCAATATATAACCAATTGAAAATCATTTGAATCGGGCACAAACCCAGACACCATCACGCCCAAAACAAAATAAGTAAATAGAAGAGGGGCAGGCATATGGAAATCAGGCGCGTGATATAATTTCTTTTTGCAAAAAAAAAATAAGGAAAAAACCAAGTCTTGCAGTAAAATGGAAATCAAATAGAATGGAACGGAACGAGTGAGTGTGTGCCAGAAAATTTGTCACTGTCTGGGGTGAATATTCTATATACTTTGCTTTTAATTTAGGTAGGCGCGCATATTCATGACGACAGTTGGCCTCTATAGTATCTATCTATATCACGAGCGTCATAACCCCATGCTCCTGGCACTCCTCCTCCTCTGGTGGTTAGGTAATCTATGCGTAAGTTGTCCAAACATAAATAAAACACATATGTACGAGCACAGGCCCTCACGTTCTGGGTTAGGAGGAGGCACGGCCTAATCGCTGATTCCGGCAAAAGTCCCTTATCGGCATAAAACTAACAATCAATCAAGCCATTAAGCTCCAGACAAATATAATAACAGGGCCCGTCATTCACTCTCATTCTTCGCATTTTCTATACCCTTTTAACAAAGCCCACACACAATAGTGTGTATCTACGTATTTATGGCTCTGTAGATACATCTGAATGAAAGCACCCACTAATTATAGATCGGTGCAGGGACAGAGACCCCTCGGCAATGTCAATGCCAATGATATGAGCATAGAAAATATGTAAGAGCTTTTCCTGGCCTAAGCCCTTGGCGACTGATAGAGCCACAAAGAGCTGTTGAAATGGATCTGTGGCGTGCCACATGCAAACCTCTAAAGAGGCCATTGACTGACAACAACGTCAAGTGAAATGTCGTCGTAAAGCATTATTTTTATTCTTTGTAAAATGTGGATGGTCCCTCACGTGCCATCTCATAAATAATAACCAAGTTAAGGTTTCTTTGAAGCCAGAAGATTTTTGGTAGAAAGCCACAAATTTTATTTATTTATTTTTTAATTTTTGGGGGTTTAAAAACTAATAAAGTTTTTTATTTAGACTAGCGTTGTATTTTAAATTTATTTTTCCAAGTTACTGATTTTAAATGTGTCTAAAAGTATCCAATAAATTCTGTTCTTTAAAATCTCAGTCTTCGTTAAATCATAGCCTACTTTTGGTCGCATTCGAAATTGGTTTTAAATCTGTAGCTCGGAAATAGCTGTTCTCATTTAATAATTTATTTTTTAAGTTTTAAAAATTCTCTATTAATTTCTTTTTTACAATTTTAATAAGTTGATAGTTCAAAATTCAAAATCTAAAATTTGTATCTTTTTCCCTTAAATTATTGTCACTTATTTTTAACATCTTTACCATATTTCCTGTTTTTTTCCCACATTGACAACTTTTGTATTTATCCCAAAAATTAGTAACAAAAATATGTTAAAATAAATAAAATTAATTAGCTTATTTAACAAGTTGTCGCCTTTTGTGCGGCGTTTTACTGCGCTTATCTGGGCTTTTTATTTATTTTACCGCTGTTGTTATTTCGTTTGCTATTATTATTTTGTTTATATATTGTTTACACCGCTTTTGTTGTCGATGGACAGCCAGCAGCGGAATGTTCGTGTGCCTCAGTCAGACGTAATTGGAGATATGCTTTTGTTTATAGGCGACGAACGAAGGAATTTAATTTCACACTGCAATTTTTGTTTTGCATTGGCACGAGATCGAGAGATAGACAAACCCGCCCCCAACATCTATATCAGCCATCATTAGTGTTTATTTTAATGATTCATGAATAGTTCTGTAGATTCTATACAGATATGAATTTTAAATAATTAAAAATAGTAAAAATATAATTTAAAATAGTAAAAAATCGTGTAAAAATGTATATTTAAATTGTGATCTCACTCTGATCGTAAAGTCAAAAGTCTGTTATTATTAATTGAAGAATATTTTCCACACGGCAATTAACAGATCTTTTTTTTGTTGTTTTCAAATTCTAACACGAGCACTGAGAATAGAGATGGTTCCACGCCCCCTTTTATATAGTACTATACTATATAAAGTGGAACATGGAAATTCTATCTCCTGTTGCTGTGCTGTATTGCTGATTGATAGCGAGAGGTGATAGCCAGAGTGAGATGAGAGATAGCCAAAACAGAGATAGACATAGAGATGCAAACAGAAAATTGATAAAGTGGAACCAATATATAATACAAACTTGTATATATTTACGATCTGCGACCACTGGGCTATCAATTGAGAATTGCCCATTGTCTACGTCAGCGAACGCCCTGAATATCAATCAAAATTGAAATCATATACGAGCACGGTTTCAAAAGGTTTATATTATAGGTATATATACTATATATTATTACATCTTTATACTGTAATCTGAATATAAATATGCCTATCTGGAGAGTGGAATTTTTCTAAAGTAACTGACTGAAGTGACAACGATATAGAGTGGCAGAGCAAAGAAAGAGGGTACAGAATCCTATAGAGTTTTATAAAAAATAGTAAACAGAAAAAAACCATCTTAAGGACAAGTTTGTAAAGATAGTATCTGATGATTCTATTTACAAACATATTACATATATAAAATATTAGATCATGGAATAAACTACCAAAGCATTTTACTATATCGTGAGGTTTATTTCCCAAGGAAAATTTAATTAAAAAAGCTATTAATAAAACCCCAATTAAGCTATATCCTAAAAGTACTCCACGCTTGATTGAAACCGTATCAAGTATCAATTCCCAAATCGAATTATACCCCAGTATACCACAATTACCTCTAATGGCCAGGTACAAGCCCAACTTCTAACAGCTTATAAACAATGATGTGGGGAATCAACTAATAATAGTTCAGAGAACTCTTCCCACACACGAAACACCAAAAGTTCTCGCTTTATTTTCGCTGTTCGAGCAGTAGGGGATTCCCCTCAAGATAATTGAACCGCCTTTGGCGGGCAAAACAATCAGGAAAACTGGCATATAAGTAAAAATGAAATGGAATTGTCTTAGGACCATCAACAAGAAATGTATGTATGTATTGTCATTGTGTTGTTTTCGCGGTAAATAAATTAATGGCCCCGTTTACAAACAATTTACCAAATGCCTTTTGTTTGGTGTGTACGTCCGACTCGACAGATTCAGCGATAGAGAGAGCTGCACTTTAATTGCAAATAGATATAGACAGCCCCCCGAGATGTCGTTGTCTTCTCTGGGCGTTCTCGATAAGTGGAGTAAAGTGTTTACAAGTTAATTGAAATAATGGGTCATGGGGAGAGGGCACAAAGTCACATTCCAAAGGAGCAACAAAGTGTACCCAGCTGAGGCACTTGCCGCAAAAAAAACTTTATTTATTAACCCTCAAATGCTCACGTATTTGCGTAAATTAGCGTATCAATAAACAGGCTATATATAGGAGTCTTAAATATACATACTATATACACAGTTTCAGCTTGAGTGCACTTTAAAAATGCTTTAATGCGGAAGTTAAGTGGAAATTTATGTTACGAAATTTACGGATGATGAGTAACACAACACGGTTGACTTGGCGAGAAAGCGTTAAAGAGTTTAATAAAAATTAACATCAATGAAAAATGTAAAGCAATTTAATTGGGGAATTGTTTATGTAATAAATCATACAGGGAAATTAAGGTGAATTTATTTAAATTTTGATAATAAATGTAAGTTAATAATTAGGGAAGAAGGCAAGTAACTAATAGATAAACAAAGCTGCTTTAAATTCATGTTGTAATTAAAATTATACACTAAATTTAAAGGAAGTTAATTATAGCTTAAGTTAAGGGGTTATCCGGGTTTTGAAATTTAAAAAAATGAATTTTTTTCAAACTATTTTATATAATAGTACAAAGTGTCAGGAATGTTGTCCGAAAATTTCAAGTCGATCGAAGCAAAACTGTACGAATGGGAGAAATTTAAAGCCCAGCGCGTCGTATGAGTCACAACTGGCAATTAAAACTTTAAACGCGTTTTTCTCGAAACCACTTTCTTGAAGTCGGTAGTCAAGATTTCTCGAAAACTACTGGACCGATCGACTTCAGATTTTCCACACTTCTTCTAGACATGTTTTTCTTGTCTCTGAACGAAGGATTTTTTATATCTTCAATTAGAACCGATTTTATAACCCCAAATATGGCCAAAATTGACGTAAAAAGGGTCATTTTTCATGAAAAACGCTCCCAAAAATTCAATTTTTAATTTTTTTAAAAATCCTTCGTTCAGAGACAAGCCAGACACATAAGCTAACAGAAAAATTTTGGTTTTTTGATTTCAAATAAAAATTGACGGAGAAATCCTGCCTACCGCAAGGACATAATTTTTTTAGGGTTAAGTTCAACCCTCCCTCAACGGCTCATTTGTGAATATTTCTTGTTCAATATTTTACAGAATTTAGTTCAAACTTTATGTATTAATGTAGAATAAATGAAATTTGCCAAATTGTCATAGGATCTTTTAAAAAAATTCTGGAAAATAGGCCTTTTTTTGTGGTTCTAAACCCGGATAACCCCTTAAGATAAATACTAGCCTAAAAAAACAAACGCAAAGTCACAGAAAATCGAATTTTTGTTTTGATTTTAGACTAAACTAATTAAAACAGATCATTTTTCGAATTATTCATGCATCAAAACAGCCAATATTTAAATAATTTCCGTCTGCTGCTCCTCCATTAGCAAAAAAACATTCGCATTATTTTTTTTAAGCCATTTTTACAGTTTGGTTTGTTGATAAGAAAAAAACCAGTCCATTAAAAAAAGAAATCCAGTGGCCATTTAGACGCCATAAAGATATAA